GAGAGAGAGAGAGAGAGAGAGACAGAGATAGAGAGAGACAGAGTTGGATATGGTGGCAGTTGGTTGCTGTACCAGGATGCACCTGAGGCTGTTTGCTGAAAATTTTTGCTGCCCAGCGGCTGAGGACAGCAACAAGTCATAAAATAAAACCAGGAACAAGCAAAAGAAAATGTGGAACCTTTATTGAAACAATGGTCATGTGACAGAAGTGAAGGTCTGTGCTGAATGTCCCTGTTTTTGTCAGTGTATGATCTTGGAGGGACATTTTGCTTGCATGTTATTAGGTGTCCTCAGTACCACAGTTGCATTTACTTGCAGCTCTTATCAGTGGTCATGGTCCATTTTCAGGCAGCAATGTATTATTATGTTATTTTTATTTTACTTTCTACAGTTGAGGTGAATGACGTATAAGGTGGTAAAAGCATAAACAAATGTTAGCCAGAGAGCCAACCGCAATGTGTCCGTCCACTGTTAACAGATCTTCTTATGCTGTTTAAAGACTGTTGACACGTGTTTGATTATTCACAATAACAAGGACATTTTTCTCTAAAAGTCCATTTTTGTTTCAGTGCTGTGAGGATCACAGACTAAATTCAGCCCATCAGAACATCTGTGCAGGCAGAAATCTCAGAGACAAACGCAAACAAACGAAAGCAAAACATTCTACATACACGGAGAGATATCACAAACAGTGTGAGAAAAGGAGTGTTGTGTTCAAGGTGGATGTTGAGCATCAAAATTATTTCCTTTACTCGTCAGGAGCTGTGTGGTGCAAAGCAACGTCAAGCATTTGTTGATAGTTTCAGTATTTTTGTGACTTTAAATATATTTTTATTCAAAAAGTTAACTGGCTTTATTGCTGAAAAAAGAAATCATGAATCAGTTTAGCATTAAGTTTCTCTCAAAAGTTGCTGTTGCAAAATTAATGGGATTTAAAAGTAATTTCTAGGATTTAACTCCACAAATATTCAACAAAAATGATTGAAATTCAAATGCTGCTCCACATCAAGATGACAACCTGATCCTGTACACACAGTATTCAAGTCTCTTTCAAACGGACAGTGCACATTGATTAATATGAGCACAGTGGAATGTAACAGTTAGCCTCTTCTTTCAAATTCGTTATCATAAGAGTTTAAAACAGTAAAAACAGTTTGAATAATGTAAACACATCAACTGAACTTTTAAACCTTCATAAATCGTGTATTGGAGGACTGCTGTAATTCAGTGACTGCCACATACGCTATTCTAACTGTGTGCAGGCTTTGAGTAATGAGTTCAGACTGCAAAAGGTACAAAATCAATTACACTAAATGTTGAGGTGACTGTTGAGCTGTGTGGTGCAAAGCAACGTCAAGCATTTGTTGATAGTTTCAGTATTTTTGTGACTTTAAATATATTTTTATTCAAAAAGTGAACTGGCTTTATTGTTGAAAAAAGAAATCATGAATCAGTTCAGCGTTAAGTTTCTCTTTTCAAAAAAATCTTTGAGATTTGACGTGAGAAAGATCTAAACCAAATAGAACTGATGGTTAAAAAAGACTCATCACTCTCGCTTTACACCTCCACACTTCTTTTCATTGAATCCCCTGCAAAGACCAAAACCAGCAATGACATGATCCTAATAATCAAAAGCAAATCCTGATAAAAGTGCGAACAATTAAAGTTTATATTAACAATTTTGATACTGAACACACACAGTGTAGTTTAAAGTCATGTTTAAAACCACAAAACTAAAAACTACAAGGCCCAACTACTTGAAGAAATGACCATGCTTTTAATGAAAGCATATTTGTGACTCATGTTTTGCGTTGATTCGGAAATAACCGACCTGAGTGCCACAGAGTCACTGTTGGTTTTGGTCTTTTTATTGAATTTGTCAACAATAACAAAAAGTACAGACAAACTCCGGCCTGCATCAGCATATTCCTTAATTTACTGTCAAAACAGAAATATAGGGTTATTTCGTTTTGTGTAATAACTCCACTCTTTGAGGATCACTAGGGGGGTGGAGCCAATCCCACCCGACATTGGGCGGGATACACTGTAGTGTGTATATGGTTTGTGGTGTTAGTATATCGTTTCAATATGATATTTTCCCTGAAGACTAACAGAAGAATCCCTTTAAATGGGTGTCTGCTAACCTTGTGTGTGTGTGTGTGTGTGCGTGTGTGTGAGAGATAAAGCCTTCATGCACTCAGGGCTGATTTGCATGTCTTAGTCATTTCCATACTGGAGTTTTGTCCATGAAGATGGTTGTGTTGGGGGGTTAGTAGAGGAGGAGGGTGGGGGGGAGGGGGTGGGGGGGTGTACAGAGAGAGAGAGAGGGAGAGACTCCAGGTGGGGTCAGGGGTATTTGCATTGTGTCTCTAGTAGCTCTCTCTCCAATACCTTTCTCTCTCTCTCTCTCGCTCTCTCTCTCACACACACACACACACACAGTGCCAGGCACCCTATTTGACATTCAAATGATGAAGCTTTATCCAGCTTCATGAACTTTCTACCCTCCATCCGCTCCCTCCCTGTCTGCTGGGCACACACTCTACACAGAGCGATGTGTATTCTTTAT